GTTTCCCCCTGGGGAGGGGGTAAACTTTACTATAGTTTATATAGGGAAATCACATTTTGGACCAACATTTGTTTAATTTCCATTGGAAGTAATTCAATTTGGGTTAGCATTATCAGTATTAGGTAGCAGTTTGATAGTATGCACATATGAGCCCTGACTGACCCCCAGGGGCTGATGGGTGGGGCCAAAAAGGGTCGAATTTACTGAAATTTCAAAAATCTTCTTCTCAAGACCCAGATATGGTAGAATCAAATACTCTTCTTAGATGGAAGGGTCTTAAGGTTTATGACTCTAGGGTCTCATGTTTACCCCCTGGGGAAGGAGGGGGGGGGGGCAAAATTTATTATGGTTTATAATGGCAAATGATACTTTGAATATAATTACATGTTAATAACTTGATTGGAATTATAACCTTGAGTTGACAGTTTGATATTTTGAAAATTTTGAGCCAGCCCTACCCCCAAGGAGTCAGTGTGCTAAAATTTCTTCATTTTCCTTGTTTAGAATCAGAGGTGCTAGTTTAAAATACTTTTTAGGTTGAAATCTCTATGCTGGATATTGAATAAGGTGGTTTTATTGTTTTTTGTGTCTTTGAAGAATATTTCTGTTCATGTTAAAAACAAAATCAACTCTCTGTATAAATATATCAGGTGACCATTAAGGCCCAGGGGCCTCTTGTACATCTCCTACTCCATTTCCCAATCCCCCAGTAAAGAAATGGGCCCTTCCGCTCTCTTCAGTAAAGCATTTGGCCCTTCCCCTATCCCCAGTTAAGTGTTGGGCCCTTCCCTTCTCCCCAGTCAAAAAATGGGCCCTTCCCCTCACCTCAGTTAAGATTTGGGCCCTTCCTGTCACCCCAGTAAATTAATGGACCCTTCCCCTCTCACCAGTGAAGAATCAGACCCTTCGCTTCTCACTAGTGAAGTATTGGGCCATTCCCTAACCCCAGTAAAGTATTGGGCCTTTCCCCCCACCCGAGACAAGTAATGGGCTCACTCCAGTAAAGAATTGGGCCCTTCCCCTATCTTCAGTAAGGAATTGGGCCCTTCCCCTCTCCTCAGTAAAGAATTGGGTCCTTCCCCTATCCCCAGTAAAGAATTGGACCCTGCCCATCTCCCTAGTAAAGTATTGGGCCTTTCCCCTCTCCCCAGTAAAGTATTGGGCCCTTCCCCTCTCCCCAGTAAAGTATTGGGCCCTTCCCCTATCCCCATTACAGAATTAGGCCCTTCACTTCTCCCCAGTTAAGTATTGGGCCATTCCCCTATCCCCAGTAAACAATTAGGCCCTTCCCCTCTCCCCAGTAAAGTATTGGGTCCTTCCCCTATCCCCATTACAGAATTAGGCCCTTCCCTTCTCCCCAGTTAAGTATTGGGCCATTCCCCTATCCCCAGCAAACAATTAGGCCCTTCCCCTTCCCCAGTAAAGTATTGGGCTTTTCTCTTCTCCGCAGTAGAAGTAATGGGCCCTGCCCCTCTCCCCAATTAAGTATTGGGTCTTTCCTCTTTATCCAGTAAAGTATTGGTCCTGTCCCCTCTCCCCAATTTAGTATTGGGCCTTTCCCCTCCCCCCAGTAAAGTATTGGGCTCTTTCCCTCTCCCTAGTAAAGTAACGGGCGTTTCCCCTCCCCCCAGTAAAGTATTGGGCTCTTTCCCTCTCCCTAGTAAAGTAACGGGCGTTTCCCCTCCCCCCAGTAAAGTATTGGGCTCTCTCCCTCTCCCTAGTAAAGTAACGGGCGTTTTCCCTTCCCCCAGTAAAGTATTGGGCTCTCTCCTCTCTCCCTAGTAAAGTAACGGGCGTTTCCCCTCTCTCCAGTTAAGTATTGGGCCCTTTTATTCTCCCTAGTAAAGTATTGGGCCCTTCCCCTCTCCTCAGTAAATAATTTGGTCCTTCCCCTATATCCCAGTAAAGAATTGGACCCTTCCCCTCTCTCCAGTAGAAGTACTGGGTCCTTCTCCTCTCTCCAGTAAAAGTATTGGGCCCTTTCCTTCTCCCTAGTAAAGTATTGGGCCCTTTCCTTCTCCCTAGTAAAGTATTGGCCCCTTTCCCTCTATTAACTAACAACGCTCAGTGAATTCACATTATTTGTTAGTCATCATAACCTAATTGTAAACAAAGGTAAAGAATGATGGAAAAAATATCATGATATAAGCGTGTTTGCTGGAACCATGGTTTATTATAACCAGTATTCTTTCTTAAAGTGACAAGTTTATTTATAAATAAAAGAAAATGAAATGAAGATGTCCAGGCCCTAGCTGCGACAACGTAGCTTTCTGACGACGAGAGATTTTTTTTATAATTGCGTCGTCAGAGCTACGAAGCGGTCCGGCCTGGATCATGAAACAATCTTAGGCTTAAGTTTTTAGCTTAGCCAATCACGTATGATGTTACTTTTCATGATGTTATCTGTGATTGTTCATGTCAAAACTTAAGACAATTTTGGACTTAAGGTGGCTCCACACATCGTCATCAGCGTCCATTTTCGTGACGTACTTCCAGAAAAAGTACAGCTCGGACTCAATTATCTTGATCGAAATGTGCATGTACACCGTGTCGTCATTTCCGTATTGCGTATCGGGCATTCAATGTCGTAGTGCAAATTATAGTAACACCTTGGCCGTTTTCGTTTAAACGGTCAAACCNATTATTCATAATCCCTAGGCCAAAACAACCACCTGATGATAAAAGTTATACATCTAACTTTTTTTGCGTGTTTGTTTTTATTTTAAAAGGCGACAAAAAGGACTTACAGTCCCTGATAATGCAGGCAAAGGGCCTCCTGTTAAAGGTACTATGCGACAGGCGTCACATCCACCCATCCTAAAAAAAATAAAGCGTGGTTTTGGACGACAAACAAGTTCTGTGGCAACAGCATCTGCCCCTAAGGAGGGAGCTTCTCAAGATCAAAGTTCATCTGATCTGACCTTGGTTCCTTCATCCACATGGCTTGGGAAGAATGCTAAACGGGTTCCTAGTCTGGAGCATGGATTCCTAGTACAGGTGGGTATCTTATAGTACTTAATACCATATTTGTCCTTATACGGGCACCGTGGGCTTACAAAACCACAAGAGGATGTGTGTCATAACCCTTTCATGCTCAAACCGGCCGAAAAATTGATGCCAACTTGTTGTGCGATATGGACTGTCAGATTTTGAACAGATAGATCTATTGGATGACAAAGTGAGCGATAATGAAAATGATTGTGTGATTAGTTGCATATTTTTTTCACATTTGTGAAATCTTTCAAAGGACAAATAAAAATACTTTACAGAGACAATTGGTAAAATCTTGAATAAGAAATGATGCTAAACCACTGGATTATATTGCTTAGTAATGTGAACACTAAAGGGCACAGAATCTTTGGTCAAAAGACTGAAAATGATATTTTTGGCAGGTTTTAATTAAGTGCATCCTTCCTCTTTCTAAGAAAAAAGGTGGGTCTGTGCTTAAAAGTTTGAATGCGGTATATGTTAATACAGGTGGGTTTCCATAAAAGCAAGCATCATATACACATGTTAGTACAGGTAGATGTTTGAACACTTTTGCACCCACCTTTTACTTTGTTGTGCTGAGCTGGGAAACACAGTCTCAAATCCCCTCCAGGTCTGCTACAATTCTTTATGTAGAGCAGCAGACAAGTACAATAGAATACAGTCTTTGGGGGTCCCACCATTGGATTGTTTTGGCAATCTCTAGTATGTAGAAAATTGTCAGAATAAAAGTTTAAGTTTACATGGTAAACTTCTATAATCGTGCCTTGTAGGGTTATTAGGTATTGTGACAATTATCTCCTTTTACCAAGAAATCACATCATGTTTGTTGGGTAACAGTATATATCTATCTATAGCTGTCCCTGGAGTGTTAGCATCATTCAGATATATATCTATAGCTGTTCCTGGAGTGTCGACATCAGTCAGATATATATCTATAGCTGTCCCTGGAGTGTTGACATTAGTCAGATATCTATCTATAGCTGTCCCTGGAGTGTTGACATCAGTCTTACATCTATCTATAGCTGTCTCTGGAGTGTTAACATCAGTCAGATATATATCTATAGCTGTCCCTGGATTGTTAACATCAGTCTTATATCTATCTATAGCTGTCCCTGGAGTGTTGACATCAGTCAGATATATATCTATAGCTGTCCCTGGAGTGTTAACATCAGTCAGATATATATCTATAGCTGTCCTTGGACTGTTAACATCAGTCAGATATATATCTATAGCTGTTGCTTGAGTGTTAACATCAGTCAGATATATATCAATAGCTGTACCTGGAGTGTTGACATCAGTCTTATATCTATCTATATATCTGTCCCTGGAGTGTTGACATCAGTCTTGTATCTATCTATAGCTGTCCCTGGAGTGTTCACATCAGTCTTATTTCTATCTATAGCTGTCCCTAGAGTGTTGCCATCAGTCTTATATCTATCTATAGCTGTCCCTAGAGTGTTGCCATCAGTCTTATATCTATCTATAGCTGTCCCTAGAGTGTTGACACCAGTCATATGTCTATCTATAGCTGTCCCTGGAGGGTTGACACCAGTCTTATATCTATCTATAGCTGTCCCTGGAGTGTTCACATCAGTCTTATTTCTATCTATAGCTGTCCCTAGAGTGTTGACATCAGTCTTATATCTATCTATAGCTGTCCCTAGAGTGTTGACACCAGTCTTATGTCTATCTATAGCTGTCCCTGGAGTGTTGACACCAGTCTTATGTCTATCTATAGCTGTCCCTGGAGTGTTGACATCAGTCTTATTTCTATCTATAGCTGTCCCTAGAGTGTTGACATCAGTCTTATGTCTATCTATAGCTGTTCCTGGAGTGTTGACATCAGTCATATCTATCTATAGCTGTTCCTTGAGTGTTTACTTCCATATTAGGTTATATCAAAGTGTTACTTTATACACAATGCACATATTAAACGTGTCGTAACATTTCAAGACCGACTTCCTGTCCTGTAGGTCAACCTAAGACTGAGTGAGCAATTTATATATTCAAATTGCTCACTCTCTCACAGCTTGACAATGCAAAGGGACCATTCGGTCTTGAAACATTGCGACACATTTAAACCCTATATTGTGTATGTATATAAAGTAAAACTTTGATATTACATATTTCCAAGCTCATGAATCTTATCGCAGATATCCATAGTATGTATCTAGTGTCGAAAGCAGTCCCTGGGTTGTGGTCTCATTGGAATTTGCTTCTGTACGATTGTACAATCTGTATGTTACTTTGAAATAAGCATTCTCTGTAGTGGCAAAAGCCTTGTTATCAGAATTATAATTTCTGCAGCAGAGTATTTGACATGTTTCTGTAATCTTTTTCAGCTGTTCCAGTATATTCGTCAGAGGATTCCCACACTAAATGAATACTGCGTTGTCTGTGATGAAGCACATGTCTTTCAGAATGGTGCCATGTTAAAGGTAACTTACCTCAGATGATCATACTCACAGACACTGATATGGCCAGGTCATTAGCAAATCACTTCTTAGTCTTTCAATAAAGTACAGTGTATACAAAAAGTACCTAGAATTCCTGATCATCATGATCTCAATTTGTCCAATTAAGTGTTTTCAACATCATGTAAACATTTTCTGCAGTAGATATATTCATGTATAGGGTCCAGGGATGATTGTCAAGGAATTGTTAGAGTAAAAGAAAAAGTGACATGGATATATGTTAGTGATAAGCTAGGTTGACTTTCCCCCATCACACCTCCACTTACACACCACAACTGTGATAAGCTAGCTTGACTTTCCCCCGTCACACCCACACTTACACACCACAACTGTGATAAGCTAGCTTGACTTTCCCCCATCACACCTCCACTTACACACCACAACCGTGACTCCAAACAAAGCCTACTATTTTTATAGGATCAGAGTGATAATCTTTAATATGTTTAATGCATTGATAAATGTTCAGTTGTAGAAGTGGAAAGCTAAAGCAACAAGCAACATCACATGAATGAATTTGTCTCACTTGCTTCACTGCCTATAGGTCATGCTATTGTGAATTTGTTCTTCAAGACTCTCTGTTATGGAAAACTAATTTCAAAGATCTGACCACTTTCAGAATTACAACACACAAAATGTACTAGAGTGGTTTGACATAAAATAAATTTCTAAATGACAAAATACTTTCTTTTCAAAAATTTGTTCATATTCATGGATGTTTATAGACGCGTTTAAAGGACATTTATACGCCTTCAGGTAAACATCGTATGAAGATGGGAAACTCTAAATGTCAAATGCACTTAGGGAAACCTTTACATGTCGATACTAAAGAGCCTGTAGAATTCATTCCTATAATTTGTACTTTTAAATTTGTTAATCAATTGATGAAACAATCAAAGGATAAACAATTCACTGATAACATGTGAGTTAAAAATGTCACCCTTTTGGCTGATTTCAATCTTGTTTCAAATTTAAGTGTAAGGCAGATTTAAAAAAAAAATCCATAGTAAGGACTGAAAAATCCAAATTTCAACATAAATCTGTCGAGCTTTTTGCCTGTAGTCCCATTTTCATTGCTGTAATACCTGCGTAATTTTGAGTTATCAGATAACGCTAAATTTAGATTTATTAAGGGGTCAACTTTAACGCATGTTGTTAGGAGAGCCTGGTAAATCCAGTTTCAATTTATGTGGAAAGTGTTAAAAGGGAAAGTAAATAACACATTTTATGATTGTGTATATTAGTCATATTTCCTGGTAACTTTGATAAAATACTTTCATCATTTCTAACTCTGCTATCTTATCTTTCTCTTCTACGTATACTCTATCTCTTATCCAGCAGGCAATGTCAGAGTTCAGTTTTATGCATTGTATTTAATCAAGCTGTGTTACTTTTTCATATTTGAGGGCAATAATGCACAAATTGTCCTTTACTTTGTGTTACAGCCAGCTGTATGCTCACGGGAACTATGTGTATTTGCCTTCCAAACCCTGGGGGTGATGAGTGACGCAGCAGAAGACATAGCTACTGGTGCTGAGGTATGTATAGGATTGCTAGGTAACACAAGAAAACAGTTATATGTCATAATGGTAATACCTAGGATCATGTTTGGATAACATCACAAGTTTGATCTTGTCAGGTCCCACCTGTCTTTGACTCCGCCCTTGACTCCAGGCGCTATTCCTCTGTGACAAAGTTTTCTCCTTGTAACTATTCCTCTTTGAGGACTTCCCCCGTGGGAATTTTCTGGCATGACATCATGTTGCATTGTCATATTGGAATTATTGTTTTGAATCTTTGAAATAAGAAGCACACCTGAATTTACTGCAGAACATCAGTGTCAATTAAACCATTCTTCAATGATATGTAATGTACTAAATCTATTACTGCCCTTTCCCTTGGGAGTAGCTCTTGGATATTCTGTCCGGGGATGGCACTGTTCTTCCCAGAACATCACAGTCAGAGAATCGAACAGTCTCCGCAGGGAGGGGTCTTACTACAATAAAATTCCTATGAGCAACACTTAATTTCAAATGTAAAACATTGTTACCAGGTCCAAGTGAAATGTTAAGCAAGAATTTTCCAGATTCCGAGTATAGGTTGTCTTTAATTTCCACTTAGAACACAGAAACGTACACAGGATAGGTATTCTAATGATGAGGGTGAGGAGGAATCTCATTGATTTTAGGATGATAAGGTAATACCAAAACTACTTTGGGTCACAGAAGCTAAGTCATGATATCCTAGTACATACATGGCTTTTGCTGTGCACAAAATTTAAACGGCAGTAAAATTCCTTGCTTCTTGGTGGTACTTGAATCACCATCAGTATTTTCTCTGTGATTGTTACATTTGGAACAGATTAAAAATGTATGCCAATAGCGGACGAAAAAAAGATCTTGATAGAACAACAGGGATTACCGTGGGTTCAACTATATATTGCTTTGTTGTAGGTTGTAGACTTGCTGATTGCCATGACGAGAGCTGCTTGTGCTTCCACTAGAAAGGCTGTGATCTTTGATCCCTATCCAACGATTGTGGATCCTAAAAACAATAGCGAACTGGCTTTTAATCCCAAGGTTTGTAGTAGTTGTGTCTACATTCTGGTTCATATTTGTCTTTAATTTGTAATTAACTATTGTGAGCTTTATACTACAGGTACTAAGGTATGAAAACAGTTGTATCTACAGTCTATTTCATATTTGTCTTTAATTTGTAATTAACGATTGTGAGCTATACTGCAGGAACTGATCATGAGAATTCTGTAACAGTAAAAGGATTTATAAGGCTGGGTTCCTAAGAAAGTATTTTGTTTAGGTATAATTTATAAGAGAGGTTGATGTCTAATAAAGATTTGGAGGGGATGCATTTATGATTTCATTTTTTTAACCAAGAAGTTCTAATAAGTGTGTTCTGCCATATAACTTTGTTCCCATTTTGATTAATCTTTCTATTTCATTTGGGCGTATTTAATGTACTTCACTCTTATTTCAATTCCTTCCGAGTCTTTTACATGTAATGTCACTTGAAACATATTGCTTTGTGTGCTACCAGAGTAACTTTTTCTGGTAAAAAGTCAATGAGACACGAGACCTAGGTCTTGGAATCTCTACCCGGTAATTAAGATGCTGGATATACGTTTTTATGTCCCCGCCATTTTACGAGAGGTTTGGGAGGGCAGGTGGGGGGGGCATGGGGGCATATTTTGTTACCCATGTCCGTCCCGTCTCATCCTTCCGTGTCCTGTCCCGACCAGTCTTGTCCCATTACGATTCTGTATCATGACTCTACCCACGATGATAAGCGTTACAGTGTATTAAGTGTAATGATACATGCTTCATTTGAAATTGGCAAGAAATTAGTTTTCAACTTTGTACGTAACTTCTTAATCAAGTCATCTCGCAGTTATCAGAATCGAGAGCAGTTATTTTGAAAATCAACAAAAGTTTCTTTGCAAATGTTGGATTTAAATGTATGTGTTTGTTTTGGTTTCAGAGTAAAGATTACGCCAAAGTAGAAAGTGCCCTAGATAGTATTATTTCTATGCAAGAAATGACCAGACTTGGAGCTGCCAATATGAAGAAAAAACTAGAAGAAAATAACATATATTCCTACCCCCTACTACAGTGGTATGTTTTGACTTTTGCATATGTTAATTTTTACAACAACAGGTAAATTACTAGCTGCTTCCTACCAAATCAACTCGGCTAGGGAGTATTTTTCTTTAGCTCATTCGGTACAGCACAAGACTAGTTAACAGGAGGTCCAGGGTTCGACTCCTAGCGGAGGTATTGAAAAAATAATGTTACATAAGGCTCCAGTGAGAATTTTTGGTCTTCTGTCTGTCATGGTCCATTTTTAATTCTCAAGATTATTATTAAAATGCAACTTATCAAGAATGTATAGTGATCAATGGCTCCTGGAATATGGGATCAAGAGCGTTTACTGCTGATATCAACAGATAGAAATCAATAAGTTTTCAAATGCAATCTTCCATTTAGTAAATATTTGAACCTTGATGACTTAATTAAATTACCAACTAAAAGTACCTTGCCTTATAATTATTTGTGAATTGAAGATTCAAATATGGACTCCTTGCCAAAAATAGTGCCCTCCCTGGATCAAAATATAATTATATTTGCTAAGAAGCTTATTATACCCCCGCTGTAGATGCAATGTAGTACCATGTTCTCCTCCTAAACTACTGGATGGATGTCAATGAAATTTGCTGATAACAATCCTAGCAGCTTGGAGATGTGCGTAAAGTACTTTTCATTAGGTTATCTTCCCTTTTCACGAAGTTATGGCCCTTGGTTCATAAACCTTCTCTAGACCATGGCATTATATAGAAAATGCAAGAACTTTTTTTACTTTTTATTCAATTCCTTCCAAATTTGGTAGGGTAGTACTGAAAGAAATAATGTTTAACATATATAATGTGTTTTTTTGGCAGGTTTCATATTTCTGTGTTTTGAAAGGTCAAAGATCACAAATGAATTACGTTACTGAAAGGGCTAAAACCTCGGAAACGGAAGGTATTTTGTATGTATATACATATACATAAAAATATTGTTGGGATTAATGAAATTTACTCAACTGACAGCGTCCAAGGTCATGGGGTCAGAGGTCATATACATAAGAGTATCATAGCCAATTATGCAGGCTATATTATGACAAACTTCCAAGGTCAAAGGTCACAGATGCATTATGTTACTGAAATGGCTAATTATGGCAGAAATAGTAGGTATTTTGTATATACATACCTTGGAGTAAATGTAGCATTGATGTAAGCTACATTGTAACAAAATTACGAGGTCATTGAGTCAAAGGTCACAGTAGTGGTGTTTGTCTTTTCCATCGGTCTGTCAATACGACATCTGAAGTGACTTTTTCATGACCCTTGACCCTAGCTACAGGGGCAACAAGCAGCCAGAATGCGGGGGGTATTAGTTAGCCCATAGGTGACAGTTCTAGTTCTAAAAAAAAGGTGGTTTCTTAGACAGGTTCTTCTGTTATATTGTAATCCTGTATTGAAATTTAAACTGAAGGGTTCAATTAAAATAAGGTTAGCAGTTTAAGGCCATTTGCATTGGCTTCTAGTTGAAGTAGGAAATTCTGGCACTAGTAAAAATATTTGGTGGTTCCCTCAGAATTATGGCAAGATTGAAACATTCTATACTGCAGGATAATGAAATTTAATGTTGAACAAAAAAGTGTCAGTGTGAATATGAAATTTTATGGAAGCACTAAAATTTATTTCTTATGGAAGTTATAACTAGTAAAAGCACTGTCAACATCTTTTTGCATCAATTTCTTACATGATACAAATCAAAGTTTGTGATATATATCTAATGATTCTCTCTACAGGATGATCACAAGTAACAGATCACATATTGTGAAATTACCTGCTGACAAGGTAAGGGCTAATAACAGGTTGAGGAATGAGTATGATAGCAAAATGGTCATATAACATTTGTTTTACACATTTTAGAAAAACAAAATGCTGTTTCTTGGACTGGGTTTGGCTGGGGGAAAAGTTTTATCAGTCAGCTGGCCACTTTATATGACAAGACAAACACAAATTTTATTATTGTTATTATTGGAGACAAAAGTGTTAATATTCTTTCATTCAATCTAAAGAATCTGCACTCAAATTTGAGAATTGGGAAAAAAATATTCTTTAGCAAGAGAAAAAAAGGTATTTAATGATTTTAAAAAAAATTAAGAAAAAAAAGGATATGAAACTGATCTTGAGTCCATGGTTTAGTGGTGGGGTATATATTGGCAANTAATTAAGAAAAAAAAAAAGGATATGAAACTGATCATGAGTCCATGGTTTAGTGGTGGGGTATATATTGGCAATGTGTTGCAATCTTGTTTACATTGAATTGGTTTACATGATTTGGTCGAGGGTGATAGGTTAATTTTGCGAGTGTGACCCGCAAGATGCGGTTCATTTAGCAGGTTTGTCAGCCTCAAGGGAAAATGTCCTATTGGTGACAAATACACATCTATCATACATATGTTTCTGTTTTTCAGCAAATGTCTTTCATGAGAACACCTCACCAGTTTCTCTTACTTAGTAGTCCCCCTGCCAAGGAGGCAGTGTTTAGAGAGTGCAAGCAGCAACATGGCAGTACCTTTGCATTCCAGTAAGTGTGGTTCAATTGGCTAATTTCCACATTCTCTTTTGGCAAAACATTTTTAATATAAAATTATATCTCAGTAATAATGTTGTTCCATGAAAGTTAGATTTTTCAGTATTTTTACTGTAGTGCGGTGTAGAGGAGCACAATGAACTCTTATAATGGAAATTACCTTCAGTTGTAATTTTAATTAAAATATGCTGTCAGCATTATTATTTAAATTTCTTGTTCTTTTGAATAAGAAATGCTTGAAAAACTTACTACAATTGTAATTACAAACATTATAATAATTAAAGTGATCTCGTTACATTTATATATGCTTCAAAGTCACCTTCAGATGTATTTGCATGTACAAGGTGTTCCTATTTTATGGATATACTTTCAAAATTAGGGTCTCAGAATTGACTCTAGCCTTAATTTGTACAGTCAATACATACATGCAAAACCATCAGTTAGTTTTTAGGTACAAATACTACCTGAACTGTAAAAACAATTTCCGGGCTGTTCCAGTAAAAATCTAGCTGGCTGTAGGACTACAGATTAAATCACCATTATCCATGATTGGGTTTCCTGCCTATTACATTAGTGCAAACAATTATTCAAGGTCTTTATAGGTTTTGTCCTAAAGCAAAGCCAGAATCTTTGGGTCATGTAGATATTTAAATGGAATTATAGCAGTTCAGCTGTAACCACATCTAAAGATCAATAATTTTTATCCATTTTTCTTATTTCTTGTGAAGTATTTATAGATTTATGGAAAAAAAACATAATGCTTTATCTTTCAGTAAGAAAAATATTGCTGAATAGTAAAGAAATGTTGATGTAGAATGAGTATTCTTCTCCAAAAATGAACGTAGGGATTTCTATATAGTGTCTACAGTGTTTGAATCGTTTCTATTGAGTGCATTGCTTGAATTGAATACATTGTTTAGAATTATTATTATTACAGTGGTTCAGGTATAGAAAACTGGCATTGCATTATACGCGAGGGACTAATCGTAGCGTCGGGGACGACGAAGCAGGTAAACGGGGCAGCTTATGGCAAGGGAGTCTATCTGAGTCCTAGTGCCAGTGTCTCCTTCGGTTATTCAAGGATGGGATATGGAGGTCACAAGGTCAAATCTGATAAATCACAGGTGAGTTTGTAGTTCTAGACTCATGACCATAACAAACAAACAACATTTTCATGACAGACTACATCTGTTCTAGTTATGCGATTGTTTAGAAATCGGTCAGAATTATTTATGTCCCCTAAGTGAAATGTCTTATATGTTCATGCGTTCATATATCATTAAATAGTGGTTACATGCCTTATCAGACAACAGTCAGACTATTTTCCCGAGGAGTTAGGACCCACAAGAGGAACTTTTTTCAAGGCAACAGATTTGATTTTGTGCTTTGTTACAAGTTCTATGATTGGTAAAGAGTAACACATGTGACGGTAAAACAGCTGTCATTATTAGTACGGCTACGGCTGCTCATGTTCATACTTCCCCTGTTCATACATGAATGAACTTTAGAAAAATGCAGATTCCTTGTTTATAAATGTAAACTCTTTGTCATCAGAACAAAGAAACATAATTCTATTCCCTCTCATTTAGATTATTTCATATTCATCCCTTTCTGTGTAAATTGATGAGTAAAGCTTCAAGAAAATCAGTTGAAGCCTTACTGTAAATTTACACAATATTTGCGGTTTTATATTCAATGATCATATTCCTTCAATTAGGGGTTGAGGGCCCTATGTTGGTCGAGGCATTCTTTTCCCACAGATCAAGTGTAGTTTCTGCAGATTTTTCATCACCAAAGTCTTTATCACATCCCATTATAATAGATGTAAAATGTGAAACTGTTTTATTTGCATCCAACTGATTGTTATATATTGTTTCAGAGTAAGTCACGATTCTTGTCCAGCAATAACATCACCTGCATAGCACTGTGTGAAGGTAGGTTCTTTTCGGCTTTCAATTCTTTATTTTGTTAGAAGGTTAGGACTGTCGGTTGAGATAGCTACATGTATGAATTTGTCAATAATATTTTACTTTCAATCCACAATTTTTCAAGCAGTGACTGAAAAGGTGAAGAAACTTGATATATTATAGCATTATTAAGTAATGGACAGTATAATAATCTGTAAAGCAATCCTGTTTTACAGAGGTTATATCGGAAACACCAAAAGACTACAAATCTTTCTGAAATTTGGCATGGTCATACACCGTGAAATGTAGGATGTGCAACAGGGGTTTAAAAAATGTCTAAGGTCAAGGTAAAGGTCACTTACTAAAAATGGACTGGAGGGGATACAGTCCTAATCTAGGAATCAAAGTCTTAATCTTTTTGAAATTCATCATGGTTGTGCACTATGTTATGTAGAGGTGCAATAGGGGTTTAAAAAGTTGTCAAGGTCAAAGTTACTGTTACTAAAAATAGGTCATTCAGGAACATGGTGCTGAGGGCCTTGCTGACCTGTTAGCGTTCTAGTATCTTTTATCCACATGTATTCATGTCTTGAGAGAATACAAAAATTGAGACTGGATTCGTATTCCCTGATTGGAAACATCTGTCAATGAGTCAGTCACACTAGCAGTCAGTTTTTCCATCGGTCCGTGCATGTATATCTTTGTCAGGTGGATATCTAATATACTCTGTCAACTACAATTGCCAAATTTTGATTTTGAGTACCTCTTGGGATGATGGGGTGTCTCATTCATGAGGGTCATACAGAGTTATGGCCCTTTTGGTCACCAATATTACAGCTTTGTCCCGAGCATATCTCCTATACAATGTCACCTACAATAGCCACATTTAGTATGTGAGCTCTGTTGGGATGGCAAAGTGACACTTAATAGATTGAAGTCTCGTGTACCACCTTATTGCGAGTTACTTCATTTTGTTTGTTTTCCATACCGAAGTTTGTACACAGATGGATGACTGTAGACTGCTCACAATACTTTGCCTCCTTCATTTCATTAGTTGTATGGCATGTGTTAGGACTGTTACTGATTAATAAAGGTGTATTGCATGAAATGTGAACTGTATGTTAAAGTTTGACCTTGTGAAAATGAATTGCTATACTCTCCATTACTGCACAGTTTTTGCTTAGTCTCGAGATTCAGAAGATGGAGTTTGAATCACAAGTTGTTTATACTTTACAATTGAATCATAATTAAACTGATTTTAATGAAGGATTTTTAAACTTTGCAGTGATCACCGCACCAAATCTGAAGAAATCAGGAAATATTTGGGTGTCTCCCTCAAGTGACCATGTTTGCACACGATTTTTCTTTGTGTAAGTATTTGATATTTGCCATAGATCTTGGAATCAGTGAAGAAGTTCTGAGAAATTGTACATATTGTATACAGTGTTAATGGTGCCATATAGGTATAGGTGTTAGAAACGGAAGCCTTATAATAATGTTTTAAAAATAGATTTGATGTACTGTTCTGTAAATGTACTTGTTCTATTAGTATTTTTTAGCAGTTTTCATATTTTCTTTGATGAGCGAAATGATGTAGAGTGCTTATTAGAGAAGTAAGTGTCTTTTGAGGTGCATTTGAGTAAGGAGGTCGTCAGCATCCTAATTTATAACGTGATTGTGCCAATAGTTTATAGGTAGCTTTGATTGCTGAAATATGATTGTATCTACATGTAAACAAATAGTTTTATTACGTATTGAACTGTGCGAATATAATCGAAATATATATACTGTAAATGCAATATCAACACAGTTCATCAATTTGATTTTATTAACCATTTTCAGAGTATTTTCATATCGGAGAAATTATAATCTGTTTATAAGTTCAAATGATCAAATGTAACATGTATGCTTTTTCAATGAAATAGAACAGCAATCTACCATAGAGGTTCATTGGTATCTATCATCATGAGAGATCATAGCAATGGGAGAAATATATGTTTCACAAGCATCTAATGTAAAGATATTATGCATAATAATTCATTGTGGGGATAATTTCCAAACATTTGCACAAAATCGATACCTGTTAAATCAAACTTTGATGAATATAAAAATATTTCAAATAATAGAGTAAGTGTGCTGAACATGCATTCTTTCCATAGTAAAATCTCATCACAATCGATGCAGGATATTTATATCTGATATGACCAGGGTCTTATCTCCCTTTAATTAACTGTGTTCAGTCCTTTGGACTCGGTCTTATATCTTTTGTGGGCTGATCAGATACAAATTTAAGGTTCTTGATAAACACAATATTCGTTACCTGTTTACAATGATTATGTAGGACCTGAAATAAGGAATGATAAAATATATCATTCCTGTTTGTAGACAGAAATATCTCAACCTGATGGTAAGATTTTGTAAATTTAGCATGAGGTACGGTGTTGCCGTACGCTTAACTTGAGTTATCTTATCCCAAGGGTTGAAATTATTCTGTCTACATCACCTCAGGATTGATTGATTACTTTTCTCTCACACTTTACCATCGTAAAAGAAAAGGTTGTAATATTAAACCAGTGTATCAAGCCATCACCAAAGGCACATGCAATGTGTGACAAAATTGAGTATGTTACCCTAGTTACGCTGCATACAGTGATGACACATGGATGACATTTCCAGAATAATAGCGTATGTGAGCTTTTTTTCCCTTGATGGGTTAAGACAGATTTATCTTTTCCTGTCAAAAAAGAAGAGAGGGATGCACCTATGCAGTGTGGGGGAAATGACGTCCTGCATCCTGTTTAGGTACCACTGTGACAGCCTTCAAGTGTTTGTGGTACAGAATTTTAGAAGTCATCAGAGACCCAGGTTTTTGGGGGCCTAATTAATATTTATTTAATATTCTTATATGGATGTTGTACTATTTATGATCCTTATATGGATGTTGTACTATTTATGATCCTTATATGGATGTTGTACTATTTATGATCCTTATATGGATGTTGTACTATTTATGATCCTTATATGGATGTTGTACTATTTATGATCCTTATATGGATGTTGTACTATTTATGATCCTTATATGGATGTTGTACTATTTATGATCCTTATATGGATGTTGTACTATTTATGATCCTTATATGGATGTTGTACTATTTATGATCCTTATATGGATGTTGTACTATTTATGATCCTTATATGGATGTTGTACTATTTATGATCCTTATATGGATGTTGTACTATTTATGATCCTTATATGGATGTTGTACTATTTATGATCCTTATATGGATGTTGTACTATTTATGATCCTTATATGGATGTTGCAGATACTATTTAAGATCCTTATATGGATGTTTCAGATACTATTTATGATCCTTATATGGATGTTTCAGATATAGTTCATGATCCTTATATGGATGTTTCAGATATAGTTTATGATCCTTATATGGATGTTTCAGGTATGAGGACGGACAGGTGGGAGACTCCGACATCAACACGCAAGATGATAAATACAGAAAGGAAATCAACAAAGCTGTGGGTTACCGTACATGTTAGGTAGTTTTGTGCATTGATGGTGTTCCTGAGGAAATCAACTGTATGTGATTGACTGTAGCAAGACTATTAACATTTTACGTGATCATACCGAAGATGGATTCTGGTCAGTCTATCTCTAAAGCAAGCTAAATAATACTACTTCTATTACCATGTGAGGAATACAATGGAGCTTTGATAATCGAATCATCATCATGTTCATTATTTAAGTAATCCATTCACAATAATTACAGAAATAATCCAGTCACCTTCATTACTGAAATAACCCAGTCACTTTCAGTAATTAAATAATCCAGTCACTTTTACTACTAAAATAATCCAGTCACCTTAATAACTGAAATAATCCAGTCAACTTTGCAACTTGAGGAATCAATCACTTTCATTACCTAGAAAATCCAGCCCCATTTATGAACTGTTATAATCCAGCCACCTTTTTTACCAAGATAGTCCAGCCATCTTCTTTACCAAGCAAATCCAGTTACCTCCTTTCCAAAATATAATCCAGTTACCTCCTTTCCAAAATATAATCCAGTTACCTCCTCTACTTAAATAATCCAGCCATCTTTATTGCTAAATTGTACATTCATCCTTAGACTGTACATAATCCAGCCATCTTTATTGCTAAATCATACATTCATTCTCAGACTGTAAGTAATTCAGCCATCTTTATTGCTAAATCATACATTCATTCTCAGACTGTATGTAATCCAGCCATCTTTATTGCTAAATCAATCCTTCAGCCGCCATCTGTAGATAATCCAGCCCTCTACATTGCCAGTTGATAATCATGCCACCTTTGTACCCAGTGCGTTATCTAGCCAACATCATTCCAAGTAGATAATTCTTCCATTTTGTTCCCGGTAGATTAATATCCAGCCATCTTCATTCTCAGTAGATAATCCAGCCACCTTCACTTTCAGTGCAGGTAGATAATCCATGCAAACTAACTTTTTTAAAGCAAAATTAAGATGGCTGGATTAATTATACTGTTACAAAGTTAAAAAGATAAAAAGGCAAATCAGTTCCCTAAAACACTGGCTTGATAGTGGGACAATTGGATTACAGGTTGTAGGATTAAGAGGCTTGATTAATAGTTTTGCAATTACCTTATATAATACCCTGGTTGTTGGAACAATCATTTAGGATAAACACATAACAGTTATGCATATGACCACAGTAGTTTTGCAGGCATTTGTTTGTTTGTTTGTTTTTTGTGTGGGTTCAACATTATAGAAACATATTTCACTGTTTAAACAATTGCTCTAGTCTTAATAATGAATTCAATCTACTGTATATAACAAATTCTAAGGTATTTCTTGATTCATAAGGCATGTGTGAATACATCATGTAACTGATTTTGCTGTGGTCTTACTTGTATCGACCCTTTTTGATTACATTAACTCTTTGATCAATGATCAGGAAATGTTTGAATAAACAAGTGGAGGTTTCAAAAACTTAAACTTTATGAAAAATATTAAAGTGATGAAAGTTGATTCACACTTTTGTAAAATCTCAATACATGAGTTGTCTGCTGTCTGCACACATGACTGACATATACAATCTGTTCTACATAATAAGGTTTCATTTTACTCACAGAATTAGATGTAGACAGGTTTACACACATGGCAGTGCCGTGTTTTTTCTTTTGACAAAATATTTTCATGCTATCATGAACAATGCTATGTAGAAACATAGTACATGGCAGTACTATGTTTTTTTTCTTCAAAATTTCCCATTTTTTTGGCATTTTTATTTGTGAAATATTAGGTTTTGCGGTGAAGAAAAAAGGTGATGTTTTTTCTTTTCTGAACAAACAATCTTTTCGTTAATTTCATACTATATGGACCAGGAATTAGTCATATTCCACTTGTAGGTTGAATATTTCTAATATTTTGTTCACTCCTGTTATGAATTTCCAAACAAAATATCAAAATAACAGTTCATGTTCAATCCACATGTGAAATATAACTGTTATAAAGAAACCAAGAATATCCTTTACATCTTGTTATCAGTACCTAGCTATTTTCATGATAGTACCTTTCTATTTTAATTTCAAGCTGTACCATGTCATTTTGTGAAATAACCATGTTTTTTATTCGAAACAATACAATGTTATTTTCACGGGCATACCTTGATATGATATGTTAACAAATATCATGATATCATTTATGGCAGTGCAATGTTATTTTAACAGTAGTGTTAATTTCACAGCTGTGTATTTTTTTTCGTGATTAAGTGAATCACTGATTCAACATGACAAGATTTAAAAACTTGTCAAGTAATGCTTTAGAATAGGCAATACTAAAACTGTATTTTCGACGGTGAATACATTTATTTCTGCACCATAAATACAAAAATAACAATGCAAAATCAGGAGTATTCACTTGCATTATAATGCAAAAAAAGTTATTAGTGAAAATGAAAATTAAGGTCTTAAGAATCTCTTCGACTGGTAATAACAAGCCTTTATCATAGTACCAAGTACTAACAGAAAAATCAGCTTTACCTTAATTGAAGTAGAGACCATAACAAAGTTGTTTTAGTTATTTTTGTGATCAGGTATAACCAAGTTTTGATATCATTGAAGTTTTAAGTAATTTTTACCAAACTGTAAACATACTTATGTACACATACTGTGCTGAAAGTCGAATCATGCATTGTGTTTTGATTTTAGTTCTAATTATGAACGTGTGTGAAACACACTTCGACACTGTTGAATATTGGTCAAATATTAAATGCAAATTCCCCAATTATGTAAGGGGAGTTTATAAAGATTATGTGAGGTTGCCATTTGATAATAGTGCATGACTTGTATAAAGTTATTTCTTTGAGTTAAGAGGGTATTGAATCATTTTGTTTGATGTGTTCAGGTCGAATTTTTAGAGTTTAGACAGAGGAACAACATGACCAGCTGGTTATCTATTTCCGTCAGAAAAGATATCAGACTCATCACAGGGTTGGAGTTTTACCTCAATAGTAAATTATGTACTGTAGTGCAAATGAATTTTTATAATTGGAAGTTTCAACGACATTTTCATATATATATATAATTTGCTTATCTTTGCCATTTCCAGACGGGTCAGGGTTAAGTAAGTTTGTATTGTTAGTTGAATTCTTTGATATCTGAGATTTCACTCATACATTTATAATTAGTTATAATTGTAAAATGAAACAATAGTTGAAACGTTTTTGTGGGTTTTATGTTCACAAACTATCTAACTCATACAAAGTTTCACAATCTATTATTTGACTATAATAAACTTCATTCTGTAAAATCATTCATATTTTGGATGTTTCTGTACCAATATATCTATATAAGTGGTTACACTACAACTACCAATACTGTGGAAGTTTCTTCTTATACAGTATGTACATTTTATGTTGATAAAATGCAAAGCTTTTTTGTGTGCATGCTTAGGTAATACATGCAAGGTCATGCGAGATTGATAAAAAAATGAAATATTATTTAGGGACACTTGTTTGATTAAACAAGATATTGACATAATTTGCCATGACTAACAAAAAAAAAAAGAGATTTACCATTTTGTTTTGTTTTATCTGACATCTTTTAAGATATGTAATTATATAATATGTATATGCATATATAATATCATCTACAAATAATGTTATGAATGGTTTGATACCAGAGCACAGTGTGATATAATGTGTTTTTATGTGAGTGAACATGTAATTAAATACAATAATGAACATTTATTTTGACTCGTGGAATGAGTCATTTGATGTTACAGAAATGTGGGTAATTGTGAATACACTTGATTTTGTTATTAAAGATGAATGATGAATATTAGCTGGTGCCCTCCTTTTTTCTGTGGGTAATATTTGTTAACAGCCTTTCACATACGTAATGTTGTAAAATTTAACAAAAATCACTTGACAAGACAGAGACTTCCGTATGATGAAGACTTGGCAGCACCATAAAACTTTTTTTGTAATTGAATTTTCACAAATACCTTGGATATTTGGTGTCGCCTGCATCGCGGAAGTGATAAAACATGTAGGGACCCCTGTGTTGCTGTCGTCTTTTTTCTCAAATGTATCTGTGCTAAATTTCTTCAATGATCTCTTTAATGTTTGATAATTTAACCTTCCAACGCATTCTGTAGTATCAAGTCCCCGCTCAAGTTCCTATTGTGGCCGTCTTTTGTCTGGCATTGACCATTGTCTGTCTTTAAACAATTCACATTTTTGACCTTTTCTTCAAAGCTGCAGAACGTCTTCCAATAAAATTTTGGAGGAAGTGTCTTATGATCAAAGCCAAACCAAGATTAAATGGATCTAACACCAGGGGTCTGAGGGGCCAAAAGAGGTCAAATTTGCTCAAATTTCAACAATCTTGTTCTTATCCATCTTGACGCCTTTTCATGCCTAAAGGCTAAGGAAACATTTAATTCACCATTTTAGTTCATCTTCGGGCATAGTAGCAGCTAGCAAAGTTTAATGAAATAATTTCAGTGGTTTTGGAGAAACTGAATATGTGAATGATTTACTCACAGGCAACCGAAGATCGCAATAGGTTAGCCAAGACTTAGCCACAGGAGACAAAAAAAAAATGTCAAAAAATAGATATCAAAGTAAAACAAGGTAGAGGTCTCATCAAAGATCTTACAAACCACAACCTGCTTTCCTTTTGCCTTAATAGATAGACATTACGAGGACTTATTATCCAGCTAGCCCCTGTTTGAAACAAGCATCTTGCTCATGACTGAAGCAACCATTTTATTATACTTAAGAATTACAGCTATCTTTTTCAAAATTAGACAAGAATGAACATCAAATCTCCGCATCTGTGGTCTTTGGATACATGTGGCAGTAATAGTGTGTAAATAGAGTTAAACATTAATTCCTGTCTAAATTCGAAAAAAATACAGTTAATAAATTTTCATATTTGAATTCCAAATGTAGGCCAGTCTTTGATAACCCAAAAACAGACTTCAAACAGTTTAATTTATCTATCTCTATGGCAAATGAAAAAGCAATCGATAACAATTGGCCATGAATGTCAGCACACCAATCCTTTAGGCAAATTACTAAACTGTTGTGACAGCATGGTTAATTAAATTATAAATTGGAAATGACAGCTGTGAAATGTTGAATGTGAATTTCTTATTTACATACAAGATAAAATATTTATATTTAACCTATATACTGTAAACCCTTATTATAAACTAGGAAATAGTTCCGTCACATATATTCTGGACTGGTGGAATGGCTCGGCATATTTTGTAATGGAAAACAATGCTGTTAAGCAATCATGGTTACAATACACATATACTGTTAAGTCTTCAGAATATTTGATGCTGCATGATCAGAAGTACTATATAACGTCGTTGATTAGTTAAGTTACATTCTAAAAACGTATACAGGGTAACAGCACATGCTTACATATAAACTGTCATAATCATGACATAGTCACCACCAGGAAGTTCTTATACAAATACAAAAATAAACAAGAGGCCCAGTGGGCCTGTATTGCTCACCTGGATTATAAAGCAACCACGGAAAATTATTCTTATTACATATGATACTGCATTTATTTCCAAATATTGGCTCTGTCTCTCAGTTACACCTATCCCTCATTTGGTCCCTTCTCTCTGCTTCCACGAATAGGGGTGGATTTTAAACATTACGCTCAATTCCCCCCTTTTTGATCCCACTCATCTGCCCCCTAAAAGCAACCCTCCATTTATACAAAATTGAGTCCCCTTTGCTTAAGGATGTACACCTCTGAGAAGTCAAAAAATTCCTGTATTAAACTTTTTTTCTTATATTGATTTTTGGAAAAAGTAGATAATGGCATAGTAGAAAATGCAAAAAAAACTATATGTCGCTGTGTTCGTTTTTGTGCTATGATCGGTCAAAGATACCAATTTAACACAATATGTGATTTTAGGTGAATTTTCGGGTTTTGACCATTGGCAGAACAAATTCATACAATTTCTTCCAAGTGTGTTATCAGATATGTATGAATGTTTGTAGAATTGATAAAAATATTATTTTCTTTGAAACTATGGAAGTAAAATGTCTTAAACTTATTCATTTTACTCAAAAATGCGATTTTAGTTACCTCTTATTTTTTAATGAAAAAATGCACATTTTTCACCATTTTTTGCCAATTAAACGCTTGATATAAAAAATTCCTGTAAAAAACTTTTTTAAGTATTCAATGAATCGAAAGAATATGAGTTTCTCTTTTTTGTCCCATTTTTATTTGTGTTATTTTTTCACCTTTTTCGGAGTCAAAAATAAAAAGTGCTTCAGTTACCCTAATATGTAAAAAAAAAAATCAATACAATATAACTTTCCACTTTTTTGCATATTATTTTGATCATATTGAACATTATAAAGTTGTACAGCAAAATTGAACCTGCTACAATTAAAAATGGTGACACAATGACAATTTAAGTGATCAATCTAGTGTCAAAAAAGGTGAATTTAGGCCCTTTGTGAAGCGCAAGAAATTCACATAAATACACTTTTTCAAAATGGCAGCCAAATTGGTCATTTTTTAAAAATTCTTGTAAAAAATGCTCTACGCACAACAGACATCTAGTTTTTTTACATGTTTTTTAGATGTGTGTTTGCTATTATACTTATCATAATTTGTTAAATATTACAAAAACCCGTTATACCAGATCAAAACGAGACTTGAACGTGACTGAAACCTCAGTAGAGTACATCCTTAAGGATGCTCTACACAAAATTTGGTTAAAATCCCTTCAGAAAAACTGAAGGAGAAGTATTTAAAAAAATAATTAGAATGCCCCTACTGGACCCTTCCCCTTTGCCCCCAGGGGCCACACTATATGTTCAAACAATTGAGTCCCCCTTGCAAAATGATGCTCTGGACCAAAGGTTAAAATAACTTTTTGAAGAATTACCACAAGTTCCCCTATTGGGCCATGCCTTCTTCCCCAAGGCGGGCCACACCCTCCTTTTATTCAAAATTGAGTCCTCTTCACCTAAGAATGCTCAACAGAAAATTTGGTTAAAATTCCACCAATTAAACTGAAGGAGAAGGAATTTTAAGATTTACCTCAATTTCCCCTTTTGGGCCCGACCCCTTTGCCCAAAGCTGCTCTACACAATTCTATTTTTAAAATCCCTCAAATCATACTAAAGGAAAAGGATGTTAATCAGTAATCACTGCGGTCCTCATAATGAGCCTCGAACCCCAGCCCCCAGAGGGGCCACACTTTCTTTTAAACAAAATTGGGCCCCCTTTTCCTATGATGCTCTGGAACAAATTTGGTTAAAATCCACCCAACGTTACAGAATAAGAAGGATTTTAAAGATTTATACCTCAAATTCCCCTACCTCTGCTCCCGGAGGGGCCACACCCTCCGCTTATACAAATAATAATAATAATAAAATACATCATTTGATGAAGCACCTTATATAGCTAGAATAGGCCACTCTAAAGCACCTTACAGTACATAGATATACAATTTATACAATCAATACAATAAGCATATACATTATTCAATACAATATTTGAGGAATTCACAGGAGCTGCCTTATCTGGCACTAACTACTTGTCATATGCCACCTGGCTAATATCTCCCTGTGTGTGTGCTGGATATGTATTGTGTTCTGTTTGTAGAGGGACTGTGCTTCCAACGGTAGCATTAATAGTGCCACCTCACTTGTATGCAACAGCAAAGATACCGCAACATCCACCCCAGACCATTTTATACCTATTTGGCACTATCCCTCTGCACCCGTAAGTCACACCCTCCAGTTATACAATGTACATGATTGAATACACAATGTGACATACAATCATATTTTGTTTGTAAATCAGACATAATGGTTCCATGAACATAGTCCATAAATAAGATATCTTAAGCCACCAATAAGCTTGCCACAATGTCTTATTGTTTTTGTGGAAAGTTGATCATTGTAATAAAAAGTTGTACATTTCTTTTGCTAGGGCGTTTTACACATAATTCTTTGTAAACCATGTCTCTTTTTCTGTTGCAAAAGCAATTCTATAATAAAACACTGAGGAAGCCTACAGGAGTCAACGTGAGAGAAATGAAACTATGCGTACCAAAAATATCGTAAGAAGCCGTTTTACCGAGAGGAAACTGTGGAAAGAGGTTTCATATTTTACCTCTCACTTTAAACACGATTACCCTTCGTAACATCACATATCTTGTTTATTTTGTTAATAGTGGTTTTTAAAATGTCGACATCAATATTTTTGTCTATGTTTTTAATTCGATTCCTGTATGTTTTCTTACAAAGGAAAACAATTTTACGAAAAGGAATAACTTGCTTGTTACTACAATGTATTGCTATTAAACTCATTTTCCGTTGTAATAGTATGTTGCTTCAAGATATTGTTCCAGGCATCCTCATGGCTATTATAGAAAGAACATTTCACATTTGGAAGATATTTCCGAAAACGTATGGCGATGTGTGTCTTATTGAAAGGTATATTTGGGATAAATCTGTCGTAACCGGCGAGAAACAAAATGCAAACATATCTTTCTTTAACTGAAATAAAACAGATATTCATATAACATATAACATTTATTGTATTGATAAGAAGTAAAAACACAAAATTAAACATTTTGCCATGTCCTCATGTTTTCTTAATATCTTTCATGAATAGGTTTAATATGTAACTTATAAAGCACTTGAATATGTAAAAATTCGTAGCACGGTCCTCGCTAAACCGTCCGCAATCTCTCATGGAAATAGTTTCGTTTCATTATCGTAATTCCAAACGAAGTTCAAGTTTATCATCAATATACTAACATCATGTCTCCTTATCCAAACTATA